GTGATTTGGACTTTATGACACCTAGTGTGGTATCAGCTTGTTCAAAATCAGAGATTGTTTCAGATTTGTTGTAGAAGTGTATTCTGGCTTTGGTCTTTGAAGGACGTCTTTAGCTGACTAAATACTTGTTAGAAAATTTTATTTTCAGTTGACCACTTTAATGGTAAAGAAGAGGTACACATGGTTAATTTTTGTATCTTTCTTCATATCATTAGGACACTTGATTAGTGAAATAGCTTCTATTTCTTTTGTTGTTGGGCAAGTATTTTATTGAGGAGTTTAAGATAAAATCTAGTTTTTGTTTTTTTGGTTTCTTTTTTTTTGGTCATCACTGGTATTTTTATTTTGACTTCATGGTGTAGAGACAACTAGAAGACAAGTAGAGCACCTTTCTTTTTGCCAACTCCCAGTAAGATGTGCCTTTTCTTCTGGCATTGAACTTTTTTTTTTTTGCATTTTGTTATTATTGCTATCATTTTATGATACAGTTCCATATTCCCTTATCCCCTCCCCCCCACCTACTTCCTTTATGTCATTACTAACATATAGTTCTTCATACTCAGTCATATGTCCAACATTGCGGGCATGGACAATGGCGTAGAGTCCAGAATCCTATTGTCAAGATATAGTAAACAGTTTCATTGTAAGTCCATCTTTGTCTGGAAAAGGAAATTCATACCACACTGCATCCTCACATCTAGATATGTTAATCTCCATTTCACAGCTACTGTACATTCCCTCAAATGGAAAGTCATGATACAAAATCAACAATAGAAAGAAAAATAGAAATTTACAATACCATGAAGTTAAATGACATGTTACTAGATATGACAATCTCCATTACACAACTACTGTACATCCCCTTAAATGAAAAGTCATGATACAAAATCAGTAATAGAAAGAAAAATAGAAATTTACAATGCCATGAAGTTAAATGACATGTTACCAGATATGACAGTCTCCATTACACAGCTACTATACATCCCCTTAAATGAAAAGCCACAAAACAAACTCAACATCCGGGAGAAAAAAGAAATTAACACCGAGAAGTTAAACAACATGCTATTAAATGACTAACGTGCAGCTGAAGAAATGAAAATCAAGAGCCTTCTTGAAGAAAATGATGCCACTGTATGATCTATGAGTCATTGAATGATTTAATCAGATGAAAGTGTTTTGAAGAGATGAAACCAACAGAAAACAACAAAACCCATGCGATATAGTTTCCACTGATCTTTGTTGGAGTGTGTCTCCTCCAGACAATAAACAGATGGGTTTTGTTTTTTAATCCAATCTATTAATCTATGATGTTTGATTGAGCTTAAGCCACTTACATTCAGAGTTTAATATGTATGGGCGGCACTTTGGTTCTGTCATTTTATGAATGGGTTGTTCATTGGTTTAGTCTTCTGTTGTCATTTTACTGGGATGTTCTTCCCATTTGCCTTTGGTTTTGGTAGATGCTATTCTTCTTCTCTGTCAGGAGAACATTTTGAAGTCTCGTTTGTAGGGCAGGTTTGAAAGAGGCAAATTCTTTTAACTTTTCTTTACTCTGGAAGAATTTTATTTCATTTTCAAAGATAAAAGAAAGCTTGTGGGGTATGTTATCCTAGGCTGACAATTTTTTTGCTTTTAGTATCTGGAATATGTCACTCCATTCTCTTCTTGCCTGTAGAGTTTCCTGTGAGAGATATCCTGTAAGCTTAATTGGCATTCCTTTATATGTCAATTGATTTTTTTCACATGCACATTTAAGGATCTTTTCTTTATGTTCAATTGAAGAGATCTTGATAATCATATGTCTTGGTGAAGATCGCTTTTGATGAAGCCTGTTGGGAGTTCTGTGCCCCTCCTGGATCTTGTTTCCCAATTCTTTCTCTAGATTAGGGAAACTTTCCTTTATTATTTCATTAAATACATTTGCAAACTCAGCTTCTCTTTCTGTACCTTCCGGGTTTTTATTGGAAAGGCGGATATACAGAGAGGAGAGACAGAGAGGAAGATCTTCCGTCCGATGATTCACTCCCCAAGTGAGCACAACAGCCAATGCTATGCCGGTCCGAAGCCAGGATCCTCTTCAGGCTCTCCCACGCAGGTGCAGGGTCCCAAAGCTTTGGGCCATCCTTGACTGCTTTCCTGGGCCACAGACAGGGAGCTGGATGGGAAGCGGGGCCTCTGGGATTAGAACCGGCGCCCATATAGGATCCTGGGGCATGCAAGGCGAGGACCTTAACCACTGCACCACTGCGCCGGGCCCAAGCAGTTCACTGTTGTCCCCTGCAGTCCCAAAGCTATTGCCACAGTGCACAAAATGGTGCCTGATGTACCACCACTATAGTTCTTGATCTGCTGGCTATCAGATCCGAGGGCTACCCAGACCTATGCCAGGTGGAACCTGTAGAAGGCCACGTTGTTGCAGTTCACTCAGTCAGAAATGAGCTCACTCCCAGCTCAGCGCATGCTCAGTCCTTTCCCTTGCCCTTTCCTCCTTAAGCAAAATGGCACCCAGTTCAGCTCTAGGGGCTGACTGGGCTATGAAATCCACTCTGTTCTCACACTGCCCATCTGAGATTTGCTGCTCTGTCTCTGCTCCTGGTCAAATCAAAGGGACCAGCAGGAAGGACAGTTCTTTGTCTGGGTTCACCTCCCAATCTCCCAGTGAAAGTCCCCTCCCACCTGGTTGCTGGTGAATTTCCAGCTGCTGGTGGAGTTCAGATCGCTGTGCTGGAGTATCAGTCACTGCAACACCACACTGCTGTGCCTGCTGCTTTCCTGTGTCAGTCAGTCTCCAGGTATCCCTCTGCTGTTTTCTGTCCTTTCCTATTTCCTGAAATATGTCCTCTCTGCTTCATCCTGATTAAATGTTTCTCTGTCCGTTTAAACGTGTCCTTACCCTATTCTGCCATCTTGATTCTCCTCTAAGATAGAATCTAGTTTTGTATATGAAGAGTTTGTGAACCATAATTTCTCTAATAGGCACATTTGCAAATCCCTTAAACACATTTGAGATGGTCCTGTGCTTTCAATATGTTCTTTTTTTCCCCATATTTTTCCCCTCCTAATTCTCATCTACATTTTACCCATCCTCAAATATCAATTTGAATTTTCATACATGGTTTATTTCCAGATTGCAAATCATAATACCTTCTAACTATAGATTTGTTTTATCATTCAGCATTTATACTAAGATATTTATCTATGTAAAATGAAAAGATATTTTCAAACTCAAAGTGATATGCTAATGTTTTTAGCCACATTATTCAGAGCTAAAAAGTGAAAACAACCAGATATCTGTCAAATGATTAATGAATAAACAATATATGATAATAAGCAATATATGATTTAGCCATACAATGGAATGTTACTTTGTTATAAAAAGAAATAAGATAACAGTATACGTGCTACAGCCTAGATGAACTTTCAAAACATGATAAGCAAAAGAAACGAGGCACAAATATCAGCTGTCATGTGATTCCATTTATAGGAAATACCCAGAATATGTAAATCTATACAGATGTTGCTTAGGAGGAATGCAATAACTAAACAGTGTTTCCTTTGGAGGTGATAATGTTCTAAAAGCAGCTGTAATGTTGTTGGCATAGGTGTTACTTTATTAAAAACCATTGTGTTGGAGCTGGCATCCTGGTGTAATAAGCTAATCCTTTGCCTCTCAGTGCTGGCATTCCATATGGGCAGCCAGTTCATGTCCTGGCTATTCCATTTCTGATTTAGCTCCCTATTTATGACTTGGGAGGGCAGCCGAGGATGGCTCAAGTCTTTGAGCCTCTGCACCCATGTGGAAGAGCCAGAGGAAGCTCCGGGCTTCAGATCCACCCAGCTCTGACCATTACAGCCATTTGGGTATAAACCAGCTGTTGGAAGATCTTTTGTAAATCTGCCTTTCAAATAATAAATAAATCCTTCTGAGATATCATTGTGTTTGTTGTATATGCTTTAAATAAGTGAATTATAATTATGCATGTCAATAAAGTTTTAAAAATGAAATAAAAACTGATACCTGCTATCCATTTTCCTATATATGGTATTTTTACTTCTAATAAAGCATTCCTATAATCTGGTTATAATTATTTATATAAATATTCAATTATTTGTTTAAGAAATGTGTCTTTCCTGTAATATTATGAAGCTTCAGCGAAAGGATGACATGTTTTTTGGTGTTCCCTAAAAAGGCATAATACTTTGCACTTGTAAATATTAAGTTAATTGAACTTTTCCAAATTTTAAGTTTTTTAGCTATAAAATGTAAGACAAAAAGAATTATATGTTACCACAAAATACATTTTTACTTCCTAAAATGTGTATAAAGGGAGCAAATTTCATGCATTCCACATGTAGGTTTTAAGAACATGATATTTTCCATCCTATCCTCCCTCACTCCCACCTTCCCTCCTTCTTTTTTAATTTTTCCTTCAATTTTTACAATTACCTACTTGCAATTTATTTTATAATCACAAGCTTAATGCTTTACTAGAATTCAACAATTAATAGTAGAAAAACCACTGTTCCTCAAGAGTATAGACAAAGGACTATAAACAATACTCAAATCTCAAGATGTTGATTTCTCTCATGTACGTTAATTTTTTTTCTTCTGTACTATCACAAATAGGAGAAAACATGATATTTATCTTTTGGAGACTGGCCTACTTACTAAGAATAATGGTTTTACACTTTATATTTTTTAGAGGAATAAATATTTATTCTCACATTAGTTCCTGAGCTTGAGCTTTCCATTCTGTATTTAGCATGGTCATACAGGTTATTATATCACCTTCATTTTAATTATAGGACTAGTCTTAGTTTGGGTATTTGCCTATATAAGCATTTTCTACAAATTTAATCAATAATACCTTCATGTCATTTCAATGAGTTTAAATATTTTTAATCAATTTGGCTTTATAATCTGAATATACTTTTTTGGTGGGTTCCTGACTTTGAGTCATGTTCATTTTTCTTTTTTCTGTTGTGTGTTATTTTTCCAGTATTTGCTAGAGATGAAAAGTTTGATTTTGCCCCCAGAGCACATTTTGAAACGGGGTGATAGTGAAGCAATTGCCTATGCTTTCTTTCATCTTCAGCACTGGAAGCGAATAGAAGGTGCTCTTAACCTCTTACAGTGCACGTGGGAAGGCAGTAAGTATTTCTTTCCAAATTTAACACCAATCTCTTGACTCGTCATTGCATTCACATGCAGTTACTCTAAAGAAATTGGGTTCTGAAAGGAATTTGTACTGCAGGTAGGTTTCAGATTAAACAGTAGCATTGTAGTTTATTGAAAGAAGAAATTATTGAGAAGAATTATTGAGAAGAAATGATTGCAGTTTATTGAGAGAATTTATTTATACTGATACCATATTTAAGAAAACTAAAATGAGAAACTGTTAAGATATTCTGCCATATGTTCATTTAAGTTAAATATTTGTAAGGAAAGAGAATGAAAGTTTATGCTGTTTGGCATATGAGCTTTTTAATATGGTTGAGCTATTGTTCTAATATTTTAAAATTTGGTCTGGTTCGTTGTTTTGATTTCAGATGTCAACAGTATGAAACTGTTTTCCTCACAAATAGTGTACACTCTGTTCTTTTTAAAAATTGGGATAAAATAATATTTAACATTTTAATCATTTGTCATAAAATTTAACATTTTAATCATTTGTCAGTATATACTTCGCTGCATTTGGAATATTCACATTTTGGTACAATCATCACCACTACCTCTCTCCAGAAAATTCATTACCCCAAACTGAAGTTCGGTACTTGTTAAATAGTAACTCCCTATTTTCATCTTTCTCTTATCCCAACCACCTTTCTGCTTTATTTTTCTGAGAGTCTGACTTCTCTATCTAAGTGGTATCATAACAGTCTTTGTATCTAGTTTTTTTGTTCACTTCATGTAATGGCTTCAGGGTTCATCAGAATTTGTGTCAGAATTTCATTTTTTTCAAGATTTATTTTTATTTTTACTGGGAAGTCAGATATACAAAGAGGAGAAGAGACAGAGAGGAAGATCTTCTGTCTGATGATTCACTCAAAAATGGCCACTACATACAGCTGTACCGATCCAAAGTCAGGATCCAGAAACTTCTTTCAGGTCTCCCACATGGGCTCAGGATCCCAAAGCTTTGGGCCATCCTTGACTGCTTTCCTAGGCCACAAGCAGAGAGCTGGATGGGAAGTGTGGCTGCCAGGATTAGAACCAGTGCCCATATGGGATCCTGGGGCGTTCAAGGCGAGGACTTTACCTGCTAGGCTAATGTGCTGGGACCCAGAATTTCATTCTTTAAAAATAAATAATGTTTCATTGTGTGTACCACACTTTGTTTATCCACTTATATCTATTGATGACCGCTTCTACATTTTAGCTATTGTGAATAATACTTCTGTGAGTGTGGGTTTATAAATATCTACTTAAATTCCTGCTTTCAATTCATTGCAGCATGTATCTATAATTGCTCACTCTTAAAATTCTGTGTAATTTTTTGAGGAACCTGGACTGTTTTTCATAACAGCTGTACCATTTTACATTCCTTCTATAAATGCACAAAATTTCAAGTTTCTCTATAACTTTTACAGCACTTGTTATTTTCTGTAATTTTAAAGAATAGGCATCCTAATGGATGTGAGGTAGACTCTTATTGTGACTTTTATTTGCATTTTCCTAAAGGCTAGTGACATTGAATGACTGGCCATTTATATATCTCCTTTGGAGAATAAATTGGACTTTTTAAAAAACTACCCACCAGATCTCTTATTCACATCTTAAAACAAATAGAAAAGTGAGGAAGCTTAATCAAAATGTTCTATCAATTAGTTGTGTGCAGTGCTTCTTTTGGGATTATCAATTTCCAAAAGTATCAATAAAAATGCTAAAGTAAATCCCATGCTCACTCAATAAAATTGGTTCACCCTCTCTGTTCCAAAGGTTTGGCATGAGGTACCATGAGACATTCATGAGAATGCTATTGAATATTTTACATTTCCATTGAGAATACAATAAAATATCAGTTAGACAGCAGCCCAACTATTGGCTTCAAATAGTTCAGAGGTGCAGTGTTAGGTCACTCTACACTCCTTCCAAAATTCCATCCTTACTAAGCTCAGTTTTTGCTTGTTGCTGTGATTACAAGAGCATCATACACAATCACTGAAGAACAGGAAATAAGGATGCTAGTTCGGACTTGGTCCCAAGCTTTGAGAAGTTGTGCAGTGTCCAGTAGGCTCGCAATATAGCTCCTCAATAAGAGGAGCTTGAAAATGAAATATTCAATCAAGGATGAAATTTTTTCTTTCAATTTCCATGTGTTTTATTTCAAATTTCTCCTAAGTTGTTAGGACATAAGCTTTTTAATTTGTTTTGACACACTGCTTAATAAATGCACTTATTAGATATGTCTTTCAGTCTGTGGCACCGTGAAAAATTACTGAGCCCTGGGTTCTGGCGCGGTGGCCTAGCAGATAAAGTTCTCTCCTTGAATGCACCAGGATCCCATATGGGCACTGGTTCTAATACTGGCAGCTGCACTTCCCATCCAACTCCCTGCTTGTGGTCTGGGAAGGCATTCGAGGATGGCCCAAAGCCTTGGGACCCTGCATCCACATGGGAGACCTGGAGGAAGTTTCTGGATCCTGGCTTTGGATCAGCGCTGTACTGGCCATTGTGGTCACTTGAGGTGTGAATCATCAGACAGAAGATCTTCCTCACTGTCTCTTCTCCTCTCTGTATATCTGACTTTGCAATAAAAATAAGTAAATCTTTTTAAAAAAATTACTGAGCCCTGAAGGCTTATGTGCCCTTGGAGCCAAGAAAATCAGTGCATTGACCATTTGCTGACAGTCATAAACTGTGCTTAACACTAATAATACAAAAATAAGTAAAACCGATACTGTGTACTTGAGGAACTAAACACCTTTGCATATTAAGACTTTTTCTTTTTTTCTTCTTCTTTTTTTTTTTTTCTATAAACTCCTCAAAACTAAGTACTTTGTGTCATTCATCTGGTATGTGTCTGTAGTGCCTGACAGTCTCCTTGACACTTGGGAGACTCTGTATAAATATATGACTTATACTATAGTTCATGAAGCTTGCTGAGTAACTTCCAAGTGTTATTACTGATAATGCTCTGTGAGTTTGATAAGCAGCTATTGTTTACTATGACAAAACAGAATCTGTGTTTTTTAAAAAGTTTAATGGAGTCAGCCACTAAAAGAAAAACAACGTTAATACAATTTTGGTGAGAACTTAAGTTCTTGGACTCCTGTACCTCTGTGGGAGACCTAAAAGGAACTTGTGGCTCCTGGCTTCTGCCTGGCCCAGCCCCAGCCATTATCCGCCTTTGGGGATTGGACCAACAGATGGAACTTGGCTCTCTCTCTGTCTCCATCTCTCTCCAGCCTCTCTCTCTAACTCTGCCTTTCAACAAATAAATAAATATTTAAAACAAACAATGAAACAAAGTTGGTGGTCCAGATATGAGCAAAGGGCAGTACTTTGGTCACCCTGATCTAGATTAAGCTGTGCTTATAGAAACATTGGAGAACTTCACGTGTGTAATTGGGAACTCCTGAGAGGTCTTTTAATCTGCCAGTGGCTATGGGTACAATTATACATGTTATAATATTATGAATATTCCTGTAAGAAGTAGAATTTTGTACAGTAAAGTCTTTTGTATTTGTAATGAGGAGATTGAGGCAAAAAAAAAAAAGGAGCTAGTCATGTCCATCCACCATTCCCTTAAGTTTTACTCCAGCCAGACTGGCCCATTCATTATTCTCTAAATAAATATTAATCTGCCCCTTATTGTCTTGCTTGTTTTGTTTTATCTGCCTAGAATGCTGCTTTAAAAAGTAATATATTATAATTTCATAAAAATGTTTAGAGTAGCTTTAATGTGATATATAGGATGATGAGGCAGAATTACATGTCACAGCTGTATTGTTTCTTTTGCACAGCTTTCAGAATGATTCCGTACCCACTGGAGAAAGGACATCTATTTTATCCTTATCCCAGTTGTACAGAGACTGCTGATAGAGAGCTATTGCCTAGTAAGTAAATGTTTCTGTTCTCCTACACTTAAAATTAATTAGATTGTTTTCCATGATATTCTCCATTTAAAGTACTATTGGTTGAAATTTCAAGCATTGTTTAAGTATTACTTTAACCATTTCTAGGATATAGTTGTAGAATTCATTTCATTTTCAAATATTTATTGAGCAAAATTGTCTAACTTAAAAGCAATGAGCACAAAGATGCATGGCATTAATAAGAACAGTTATTTTACAAGTGAAAATAGTGATATTGGCACCAGCACTGTGGTATAAATGGATTAAGTTGCTGTTTGCAGCAGCAGCTTCCCATGTTAGAATGTCAATTCAAGTCCTGGCTGCTCTGCTTGGGTTTTTCTTTTTTAGCTATGTATTTTTGTTTATTTGCCAAGTAGTGTTACAGACAAAGAGGTAGAAACAGAGTTTGTCCATCTGCTTGTTTACTCCCTGGATGGCTCCTGCAGCCAGAACTGGGCCAGGAACAGCACAGGAGACAGAAATTTCTTTCAGGTCTCCTAAGTGAGTAGCAGTTGTTCTTCCTAGGCCATTACTGGGATGCTAGCATGGAAGTGAAATAGCGAACATGAACTGGCACCCATATGAGATGCTGGTATCATAGGCATTGACTTTACCTGTTATGTAACAAAGCTGGCCAGTGGCTTCTCCAGTTTCAATCCAGCTCCTGGGTAATGTGCCAGGGAAGGCAGCACTGGATGGCCCAAGTGCTTTGGCCCCTACTACCCGTATGTGCAAACAGGATGGCATGTATGACTCCTGGCTTTGTCCTAAACCAACTCTAGCTGTTGTGGCCTTTGAAGTGAATAAAGAAGTAAACAGAAGATCTTTCTTTCTCTCACTTTGGCTCTCACCATCTCTGTCTTTCTGCTCTTCAAAGACAGAAAGGAATCTTCAGTATCTCTCTCTCTAATATATATTTTAGTCCTTCACAGATTCTTTCAGAAGGTAGAGCAGGGAGCACTCTTGAAGTCTTGAACTCATTTGGTGACTGCAATAGGAACTTGACACTAAAACCAAACACATTTTAATAAAACTGTAGAATAGGCCTTTTAGACACACGCATCTTCAACAGAATTTTACCAAAGTAAATCTAATGTATAAAAAGAGTTTGTTATAAAAGTAGAATTTACCTTACAAAAGATTGTTTTTTCACCTATAATCTACTAGTAAAAATTATTGAAGCAGAAAAAAATCATTTAACAAAATTCCAAACCTACTCATGACAAAAACTGCTAATGGAAGGGAAGTTTTTCAGCCTGGTAGAGTATCTATGAAAAACCCTCATTTATCATACTTTGGGCCAGCATTGTGGTGTAATGCATAAAGGCACCACTTGCAACACAGGCGTGATATACAGATGCTGCATTTCGCTGCTAATGGCCTTGGTAAAGCAGCAGCAGATGATTCAGATGCTTGGGGCGGTGCTAATCATTTGGAAGACCTGGAAGAAGTTCTTGGCTCCAGGCTTCAACCTGTTCAAGCCCTGGCTGTCGTGGCCATCTGGGGAGTAAAATAGTGGGTAGAAGACCTCTTCTTCTTCTCTCTTGTCTCTTCTTCTCTCTAACTCTGACTTTCAAATAAATCAATAAATCATTAAAAAAAAAAAACCTTAATGGTAAAAGACTGACTGCTTTACTTTCGGATCTGGAATAAAGTAATAATGTCTTTTATTTTCATTTTGTAATTGTTGTTATCATTTTGTGATACATTTTCATAGGCCCTGGGATTTTCCCACCCCTACCCCACTGAGTTCTCCCATACCATTACAGTAGTATGGTTCCTCATAAGTGGTCATAGATCCATTACTGCTGGCATTGACATTGGCAAGAGCATCCAGCATCCCATTGTCAAGACACATCCAACAGTTTCACTGGGAGTCCTTACTCGATTGAAGCAGAGATACACACTGCACTGTGTCCTCACAGCTGAACATGACAGTCTCCACTACACAGTCACAATACAAACCCCCACTTGAAAAGCCACAAAACAAAATCAACAACAGGAAGAAAAACAGAAATTTACAACACCGTAAATTTAAACAGCATGCCACTGGATATGATAGTCTCCATTACACAGTTACTATACATCCCCTTAGATGAAAAGCCACAAAACAAAATCAACAACAGGAAGAAAAGCAAAACTTTGTAACACCATGAAACTCAGTAACATGCTACTGAATGACTAATGTGTTGCTGAAGAAATGGACAAGAAAATCAAGAACCTTCTTGAAAATGATGCCACTATTTGATCTGTGAGTGAAGAATTTAATGAGAAAAAAGTGTTTTGAAGAAACTAAAAACAAAAACATCAAAATCTGTGAAATACAGTTACCACCGATCTTTGTTGGTGAGATATGTCTCCTGTAGGCAGACATGGGTTTTGTGTTTTTAATCTTATCTACTAATCTGTGACTGATCAGTTTAAGCCATTTACATTCAGGGTTAATATAAATAAGTGATAATTTGGTCCTATCATTTACAATGGGTTGTTCATTGTTTAATTGAGTCTTCTGTTATTTTACTGGGATGTTCTTCACATTTGCCTTTGGTTTCGGTGGGTGTTATTCCTCTTCTCTGTCAAGAGAACATCTTTAAGTATCATTTATAGACCAGGTTTGGAAGAGATATTCTTTTAACTTTCTTTTACTGTGGAAGAATTTTATTTCATTTTCAAAGACAAAGGAAAGCTTTGCTGAGTACGTTATTCTGGGCCGACAATTTTTTTGCTTTTGAAATCTGGAATATGTCGCTCCATTTTCTTCTGGTAGCTGTGAATTTAGTTGCCATTTCTCTGTATGTCAGTTGATTTTTTTTCACATGCACATTTAAGGATCTTTTCCTTATGTTCAATTGAAGAGAGCTTGATTGTCATATGTCATGGTGAAAATCGCTTTTGGTCAACCCTGTTTGGAGTTCTGTGCCCCTCCTGGATGTGTTTTCCAAATACATTTTTAAACCCAGCTTCTTTTTTTTTACGCCTTCTGGAGCTCCCATAACTTATACTTGGCATTTTAATAGTGTCTCTTAATTCTTGAATATTTTTTTTAGCTTGACCCAGCTCTACTTCCAGCTTTTTGACTGTCTCATTGTGAAAAGAAATATCTTCCAATTCTGAGGTTCTGTCTTCTGCCTCCTTCATTCTATTATGCAGACTTTCCATTGAATTTCTATTTAATTTCTAATTTTGCTTTATTGAGTACTTCATTTCCATTAATTTGGTTTGGTTTTGTTTCAGTTTTGCTGTTTCCTATGTGATATACTCCTTAACTTCCTTGAACTCCAGTGTGTGCTTCTTATTGTTGATTAGAAGCTTTATAATGAGTTTTTTGAATTCTATATCCCCCATTTTCTCGATGTCTTCCTCAGTTAACTCTGAGGCTGGCAAAGGCTTTTACTCTTTTGTAGGGAGTCTTCAGTAATATTCATTGTGTCTCTTTTTTCTTTTGCTCTTTGTCATTGTACTTCTGGTTAGCAGATTCTTCTCTTTGGAGCAGGTTTCTAAGCTGTATCATCCACAGATCTGCAGCTTGATTTTATTTATTGTAGTTGGTTCTTTGTTTGCAGTCACTTGTGTTACTCCCTCCAGTGAGTTTCAGGTCTGGGCTCTTAACGTTAGACTTTCATCAAGGTCTCCGTAGCCACAGTTCCTGGCTCACCACTTTCCAACTCCTGTGATCACATGCTGTGGCTGTACCATTGTCTGTACAATGTTTCTCCCATTTCCAGTTCAAGCAGTTCCCAGGATTAGGGCAACACCAGGTGTCCAAAGTAGCTAGCTTGTTGGTGGTCTGATCTTGCCAAACCTGCTGAAATCTAAGGATCACACAGACCATTTTGAGTTGTACAATGCCAAAGTCAGTATTATTTTTGATGTGGGATCAGTACAATGCATTCAGCACAGTGAGTTCACTCCCAACTCAGCTGCTGTTGTGCCTACAGTCTCAAAATCTTTGCTACACTGTGTAAAATGCTGCACGATGTGCCATTCGTGAAGTTCTTAATATGCTTGCTAGTAGGTCTGGGGGGCTACCCCCGGACCTGTCATGGATGGAGCCTGTAAGATGTCATGTTATTGCAGTTCACTGAGCCAGAAATGAGTTCACTCCCAGCTCAGTGCCATTCAGTCCTGACCCATAGCCTTTTCCTCCATACACAGTATGGTGCCTGATTCAGCTCTACTCGGGGTCTGGGCTGTGAAATCCACCCAGTCCCCACACTTTTTTGGGATCTGCTGCTCTGTCTCTGCTCTGGTTTTACCTCCTGAGTTCCCAGTGAACTGCACTTCCCACCTTGTTGCTGGTGGAGTTCCAGCTGCCAGTGAAGCTCAGATCACCACTCGGTAGATGTCACTAGGGTATCTGGTCACTGCAACACCACACGTTGTCTCTACTACTTTCCTGTGTCCATCAGTCTCCAGGTGCCCCTCTGCCATAGGTCTGTCCTCTCCTGTTTCCTGGAATTCACCTTGGTTAATGTTTTTCTGTTTAAACATGTCCTTACCATATTTCACCATCTTGCTTATACTCAGGAAAGAAAAAGAAAAAAACATCAATGCTAGAAAAGATGATTCATATAAAAGTGGAATCAGCAAGGTGGCAGAATATAAGATCAATATTTAAAAGTTAGTAGTCTTGTCTGTATACTATAATGAACAATCTGAAAATGATATTTAAAAAGCAGTTCCAATTGAAGCAGCATCACAAAGAACAAGGTATTAAGGAATGAATTCAACAGAAGAAGTACAACACTTGTATACTGAAAACTACAAAACATTGCTGAGTTAAATTAACAAAAGTCTAAATTAATGGAAAGATTTTGTGTTGATGAATTGGAACACCCATGATTGTTTAGATTTTAATTCTTCCCAAAGTAATCTAGAGATTTAGCATTATCCTCCATCAAAATCCCGGGAGGTATTTTGTAATTTTAAGTTGGTCCTAAAATTTACATGGTTTGATGAAGGATCCAAAATAGCAAAATGGT